TAGAGGCCATGGCACCATATCATGAGCATATTTTTATATTGAAACTATCATTGGGCACCAAAGATGTGTATACGACGCTATAAAAGTTCCGAGAACTGGAGATTTTCCCCACAAACTACGTACTTAGCCCACTCGACTGTCTTGGTTTTTTCACACAAACTACGTACCTAGCCCACTCGACTGCCAATAGGGACTGAGAAAATAAAAACAAAAGAAAGTTAAAACCTTGCCAACATATTTCCTCTTTGTGGAAAATCAAGACAGTCGAGTGAGCTAGGTACGTAGTTTATGGGCAAAAAATTAAGACAGTCGAGTGAGCTAGGTACCTAGTTTATTGGCAAAAATAGAGACAGTAGAGTGAGCTAGGTACGTAGTTTATGAAAAAAAAAAACAAGACAGTCGAGTGTGCTTTTTTTACTTTCGTTTGTTTTTTGTTTCGTTTTCTATTCGCAAGTGATTATCTAGAAACTTGTAAATTTTTTAGTTTTTTCATCGTATCTCCTGAACTATTGAATTCAGAAAAAAATGTTATGAGGATTTTTTGTAGATTCTATCGAAAGGAATAATTTTGGTTCTATAACATTTTCAAATATTTTTAGTTGTTTTCGAGATATTTGGAATTATCTGAGAATAAAATTTTCAACACTTTTGTTCCATCTTCCAATCAACAAAATGAAAAAATATTTCACGGTTCAGTGGAAGTCGATGAGCTTCATCTATCGATAATCTATGTTTTTCAATATATCTTCATAGTACCCTATGGGTCGTTAAATTTTTTTTTTTCATATTTTTCACTTTATTTCCTGTACTATTGGGTTTACAGAAGAAATTATGGAAAATAATTTGTAGGAAATATTCCAGTGGATAACTTTGCACTTTTGATAATTTTCGATTTTTCCATTTGTTTTCGATATATATTGAATTAAAAGGATTTCAAATTTTGATGTTTGGGTTTTCATTTGTTTTTCCAGTTTCCGATGGATGCACGAAAAAATGATTGAATGATAATTTGTTGCGTCATCAAAGAGGCATACGGTGCATTTCTCAAATTTGGATTTAGTCTATTTGTTCACGAGATATGTCGTTTTAAAGCGAACCGTGTTTTTCGGAAAATCTCCTTGAAAAACCCACTTGGAATTTTCCGACCCTGCTCAATTTCAATAGGCTTCGTCTCTTCCTGATAGAGGTTTTTTTCACAAAAAATGAAATCGATCGGACCACTTTTGCGATTTGTAGAGTGGTTACAAGGAACTTCCGGTGAAAAATCGAAAAAACCCGGAAAAACCACCTTTGAGTTTTCCGATTTCCTTCATATTTTAATGACATAATATTGTTTCGAGTACAATAAGATGGCAAAATTTCAAGTCGATATGTCAAAGGGTTCCGGAGATATATCGATATATGATTAACACAGAGTACAGACAGACAGACAGACAGACCACACACAAAAACCAAAGTTGCTCAAAATTCGATGGGGATCATTTTCTCCAAAGCAACTATACCTCTATCTCGCTTAGTTTCCGAGATAGCATTTTTGGCACGGCCGTAGTATACTCCACTATGTATAGCGTCGTATAACAAGTGAGGTACGTAGTTTTTGAAAGGTATCAGATTAGTATAGATGTAGTTTTCATTAGGTATTAGATTAGTATAGGTGTCAGATAATTTATACGACGCTATGAAAGCAGATGATATTTCATCATTGCTCATGTGAGACGGAAGTAGAGGCCATGGCACCATATCACATATCATGAGCATATTTTTATATTGAAACTATCATTGGGCACCAAAGATGTGTATACGACGCTATGAAAGTTCAGAGAACTGGAGATTTTTCCCACAAACTACGTACTTAGCCCACTCGACTGTCTTGGTTTTTCCACACAAACTACGTACCTAGCTCACTCGACTGCCAATTAAGACTGAAAAAACAAAAACAAAAGAAAGTTAAAACTTCGCCAACATATTTCTTCTTTGTGGGAAATCAAGACAGTCGAGTGAGCTAGGTACGTAGTTTATTGGCGAAAAATTAAGACAGTCGAGTGAGCTAGGTACCTAGATTATTGGCAAAAAATAAAGACAGTCGAGTGTGCTCTTTTCACTTTCGTTTGTTTTTTGTTTCGTTTTCTATTGGCAAGTGATTTACTAGGAACTTGTAAATTTTTTAGTTTTTCCATCGTATCTCCTGAACTATTAAATTCAGAGAGAAATGTTATTGGGATTTTTTGTAGATTCTATCAAAAGGAATAATTTTGGTTAAATAACATTTTCAGATATTTTCAGTTGTTTTCGAGATATTTGGAATTATCTGAGAATAAAATTTTCAACACTTGTTTCATCTTCCAATCAACAAAATGAAAAAATATTTCATGGTTCAGTGGAAGTCGATGAGCTTCATCTATCGATAATCTTTGTTTTTCAATATATCTTCATAGTACCCTATGGGTCGTTCACATTTTTTTTTCATATTTTTTACTTTATTTCCTGTACTATTGGGTTTACAGAAAAAAATATGGGGAATAATTTGTAGGAAATGTTTCAGTGGATAACTTTGCGCTTCTGATAATTTTCGATTTTTCCATTTGTTTTCGATATATATTGAATTGAAAGGATTTCAAATTTTGATGTTTTGATTTTCATTTGTTTTTCCATTTTCCGATGAATGCACGAAGAAATGGTGATATAATAATTTGTTGCGTCATCGAAGAAGCATACGGTGCATTTTTCAAATTTGGATTTAGTCTATTGGTTCAGGAGAAATGTCGTTTTGAAGCGAACCGTGTATTTAGGAAAATCTCCTTGGAAAACCCACTTGGAATTTTCCGACCCTGCTTATTTTCAATAGGCTTCGTCTCTTCCTGATAGAGTTTTTTTTCACGAAAAATGAAATCGATCGGACCACTTTTGCGATTTGTAGAGTGGTTACAAGAAATTTCCGGTGAAAAATCGAAAAAACCTGGAAAAACCACCTTAGAGTTTTCCGATTTCCTTCATATTTTGATGACATAATATTGTTTTGAGAACAATAAGATGGCAAAATTTCAAGTCGATATGTCAAAGGGTTCCGGAGATATATCGATTTATGATTAACACAGAGTACAGACAGACAGACAGACAGACCACACACAAAAACCAAAGTTGCTCAAAATTCGATGGGGATCATATTCTCCAAAGTAACTATACCTCTATCTCGCTTAGTTTCCGAGATAACATTTTTGGCAAGGTCGTAGTATACTCCACTATGTATAGCGTCGTATAACAAGTGAGGTACGTAGTTTTTGAAAGGTATCAGATTAGTATAAAGGTCAGATAATTTATACGACGTTATAAAAGCAGATGATATTTTATCATTGCTCATGTAAGATGGAAGTTGAGGCCATGGCACCATATCATGAGCATATTTTTATATTGAAACTATCATTGGGCAACAATGATGTGAATACGACGCTATGAAAGTTCAGAGAACTGGAGATTTTTCGTACAAACTACGTACTTAGCCCGTACCTAGTTTATTGGCAAAAATAAAGACAGTAGAGTGAGCTAGGTACGTAGTTTATGGGAAAAAAATCAAGACAGTCGAGTGTCCTCTTTTTACTTTCTTTTGTTTTTTGTTTCGTTTTCTATTGGCAAGTGATTATCTAGGAACTTGTAAATTTTTTAGTTTTTCCATCGTATCTCCCGAACTATTGAATTCAGAGAAAAATGTTATACGGATTTTTTGTAGATTCTATCAGAAGGAATAATTTTGGTTCTATATCATTTTCAGATATTTTCAGTTGTTTTCGAGATATTTGGAATTATCTGAGAATAAAATTTTCAACACTTTTGTTCAATCTTCCAATCTACAAAATGAAAAAATATTTCATGGTTCAGTGGGAGTCGATGAGCTCCATCCATCGATAATCTTTGTTTTTCAATATATCTTCATAGTACCCTATGGATCGTTAAAATTTTTTTTTTCATATTTTTCACTTTATTTCCTGTACTATTGGGTTTACAGAAAAAATTATGGGGAATAATTTGTAGGAAATGTTCCAGTGGATAACTTTGCACTCTTGATAATTTTCGATTTTTTCATTTGTTTTCGATTTATATTGAATTGAAAGGATTTCAAATTTTGATGTTTTGATTTTCATTTGTTTTTCCATTTTCCGATGGATGCACGAAATAAATGGTTGAATAATAATTTGTTGCGTCATCAAAGAGGCATACGGTGCATTTTTCAAATTTGGATTTAGTCAATTGGTTCAGGAGATATGTCGTTTTAAAGTGAACCGTGTTTTTCGGATAATCTCCTTGAAAAACCCACTTGGAATTTCCCGACCCTGCTCAATTTCAATAGGCTTCGTCTCTTCCTGAGAGAGGTTTTGTTCACAAAAAATGAAATCGATCGGACCACTTTTGCGATTTGTAGAGTGGTTACAAGGAACTTCCGGTGAAAAATCGAAAAAACCCGGAAAAACCACCTTAGAGTTTTCCGATTTCCTTCATATTTTAATGACATAATATTGTTTTGAGTACAATAAGATGGCAAAATTTCAAGTCGATATGTCGAAGGGTTCCGGAGATATATCGATTTATGATTAACACAGAGTACAGACAGACAGACAGACAGACCACACACAAAAACCAAAGTTGCTCAAAATTCGATGGGGATCATTTTCTCCAAAGTAACTATACCTCTATCTCGCTTAGTTTCCGAGATAGCATTTTTGGCAAGGCCGTATAGTATACTCCACTATATAGGTATAGCGTCGTATAACAAGTGCGGAAAGTTTTGCGGGAAAGTGACCACACCAAAATGAGTGCGAAAAAGTGGACTTTTCCGCACGCTAGTAGAAAAAATCATTTTCGAGTCATGCATGCGAATGATGCTAACACTGAATAAAGGAATGCAAAACGAAATTTTTTATATTTTCATCCACATTTACAAGCAATGAATCAATGTTTGTAATGTCTATAGATAGATCAACCATTTCACATAAGGTAGTTCAAGATACTGATGCTCCTCTTTTGTTTAACGTCTTTGCAAGCAGCATTGATGATGAATCGGAAGAGGGCATCTACAAGATTAGCCGGAGTTTTGTCTTCACAGTGATCTTCCATATCTTTGACTACACATTCTTGAATCGTTTTCATATCACTGAAACAACAAAAATAGTTACACAACAGCTTCAACATTTCTGTATATTGAGATGATCTATTTTTCCGTAATATATTTGGTCACTCTGTAGGTATACATCGTGGGCAACCATTTGAAGAAGGATTACGTTGGTGTGACGTACCAATTTGGTTAAACATGGCCAATCAGTATAATGTTACACCACCGATTTGTGACTTCTATGTGACGTTGTTTTTCCGATGTGATAATGACGTTTTCTAATCAGACATTTCCAAAAAAATCCATGAATCACGTCGATTTATGTTTTTGAGGAGACACTCTGTGACATAAAAAATCCGCCCTCCTTCACCCCCTCAACGTGATAACTTCCCCCCAATTTTTTTAAATAAAATAGAGGGGTTGAGTGATACCTCATTTTGTACTTTTCGTAGTGTATTCAATTGTTTATACAGCCATATCATTCAAACTTTCGGCCCATTGTATGAAAATAATTCTGAGTAATAAACACAAACATCAACTGAAAAACTGTTTTTCTTCCTTTTGGATGTATGACAAATCGATATTCATCATACAGGACGTGGAAAAAAAAATTCTGAATAGTGAAAACCTAATCACGAATCTGCGATTGAAGGTTTATAAAAATAACAAGTTTCCATCGTTGAAGTTTAAACCCCTTGATTAGGTGGGAGTATTGAAAAGGAATATTCTCAGATAAATTATGAACATAAAAAAATTGATATTACTTTATCGGGGTCACCTGACTTTCGCTACATGTCAAAAGTGACATTTTTTCAAGTTAATCGCTGAAAGTATATAGGCTTTTTTGTTCGAATATCGAAAAAGTTTACTTTAAAAAATTGTTTCTATTTCAATTTTACACATGCTTCTCGAATTTGATCTATCTATTGCAACTTTTAGATTTTGATTTTTTTTTTTAATTTTTCGAAATTTCTGTAATATAGGTATTTGAAGAATTGTTAATTCCACGAAACTACTTCATACCAGTAGCTTTTTCATGCTACCTACTTTCAATTACTTATTATCACTGATTATGGACAGAAATATGATTTTCTTCAGAAAATGATAATACCCGCTTCCAAATTCTGTTATGTTTGATGCAAAGTTGATATATCGTCAAGCATTTAGAAACGAAATTCATTTAAGTAAACTGATCTTTTCAGTATTGAAAAAATAAATTTAAATGAATTTCGTTTCTAAATGCTTGACTCAAACATAACAGAATTTTGATGTTATGTTTGCATCAAACATAACAGAATTTTGAAGCGGAGATTATCATTTTCTGAAGAAAATCGTATTTTTGTCGATAATGATAATTAGTAATTGAAAGTTAGTAACATGATGAAGCTACTGGTATGAAGTAGTTTTATCGAATTTACAATTTTTTTAATATTACAGAAATTTCGAAATTTTTGAAAAAATATCGAAATCTAAAAAAGGTGCCTAATAGATAAAATCTGAGTCACATATGTAAAATTCAAATAGAAACAACTTTTTCAAGTGAACTTTTTCGATTTCGAACAAATAAGCCTACTTTCAGCGATTGATTTGAAAAAATGCCACTTTTGACATGTAGCGAAAGTCACGTGACCCCGATTGAGTAGGCCATTTTTCAACTTTTTTGAAGCAAAAATCAAAGTCCAACTCGAATTTCAAAATAAGTCATTAATAAAAGTTTTTCCCATATGATGCCGACTTTATGAATGACACTGTATATATCAAAAGAATTAAATTGAGAATCCGCATTTTCTATGTGATGAAAATATCAATTCTTTCTCGGTTTATTCAACAGGAAACAACTATCCCTTCCTGGCTATATGCCACGACGAACATTGAATTATATCTATTGAAAACACACGATGAGAATTTTAAAACAAAATCTTCTGAAGTTGACATTCTCCTTCAGATATCTGATTTCTCAATGTATTTCTTTATATTCAATATATCCATGTTCATAATTCATCTGAGAATATTTCTCTCCAATCTTTTTCTTCTGCAAGTTCAGAAAGGACATACAATTTTTTAAAGATAATCAATACGTCATCTCGCTCAAGAAATTTGAGGACCCTATTACCACCCCTAAGAATATTCTGAAAAAAAATTTCAGGGGGTGAGGGTGGTTTGAACCCTTCCACAATTTCTTTTGGGTTTCTCTGATTACCGAAAAAAGAGTTATCCTCTTATATGCATTTTTGTCAAATTTCATCCAATTTGTTTCACTCTTTTTTGAACAGCGTTCAAAAATGTGTTTTTCAATGTAAACGTCGAACTTGTCTTCCGGACAAACGGTACATTTTGTAATATCATGTAATATAAATAAATTGGATCCAATAGACTTATTTTGATCTGTCTCATCAGCAATTTTGGGACACCCTGTATATACCTAGTACTTAACCAGATCTCTAAGAAAATGTAGACAAATTTTAATTCAGATTTTCAAGTCTCAGTATTAATTGTTTGTTGAAGGGGTCAACATTTAATTCAGAAAAGACTATTAGGCAATATACCACGTTTACGGAAAGATAGCTTATTGCTGGGTCTATAGATTCAACTTAACTAAGAATTTAACTATAAACTTGAAAAGCTGAATACAAGGAATCATCTATGTGGGTCCATATATACAGTGTGTCCCACTTACCATGCTCACCATGCTCACCATGGGTATCTTTTTAACGGTGAGAGATACGAGGTCGGTTAAATGACACCAAATGTGGAGTTTGTCAAGGCAAACTATAATGTGAAAAAATATTTCGATAAAATCTATTCGTTTTTGTTTTTTACGCAAAAAACAGATTCTGATCATTTTCATGTCTCCTCCGTTACTTCTTTATTTATGAAAATATTCAAATAGGAATTTCACATTCTCATGGCAGTTTTTCAAAGTGATTTCGAAAGAAATATGAGATTCATACCAACTCTTCTAGAATTTGAGATATCAGCACCAACTTTAGTTTTTCAAATGTAGGTCAAGGCTCACTATGAATTAGTTACAAATAACTTCTTTTTCTCTTACAGATGATATGTCGCAGTAATAGTTTTGTGTTGATAACAACGGAGTTATCGTCATTTATACAAAAAAAAAATATTTGGAAGCCGCCATCTTGAATTTATAAATTTTAACAAGAAAATCATGATCTCCGACCTCAAAAACTCCTACTTACCAATTTTGAATGAAATCGGACCAAATCTTGTCCGCCATCTTGGAGCAGCAATTTTTTTAAATTTCAACAAAAATTCCATAGCTCCGATTAACTTGAAATTTGGCAGGTGTTCATAGTTTCGGTGACAATACATTATGGAATTTTTGTTGAAATAAAAAAATGGCTGCTTCAAGATGGCGGACAAGATTTGGTCCGATTCCATTCAAAATTGGTGAGTGGGGGTTTTTGAGGTCGGAGATCATGATTTTTTGTTAAAATTTATGAATTTAAGATGGTGACTCCGAAATAATTTTTTGTTTTTGTATAAATGACGATAACTCCGTTGTTATCAACACAAAACTATCACTGCGACATATCATCTGTAAGAGGAAAAAAAGTTATTTGTAACTAAGTCATAGTGAGCTATGACCTACATTTGAAAAACTAAAGTTGGTGCTGATATCTCAAATTCTAGAAGAGTTGGTATGAATTTCATATTTTTTTCGAAATCACTTTGAAAAACTGCCATGAGAATGTGAAATTCCTATATAAATATTTTCATAAAAAAAGAAGTTACGGAAGAGACATGAAAATGATCACAATCTGTTTTTTGCGTATAAAACAAAAAACGAATATATTTAATCAAAATATTTTTTCACATTATAGTTGGCCTTGACAAACTCCACATTTGGTGTCATTCAACCGACCTCGTATCTCTCACCGTTGAAAAGATACCCTTGGTGAGCATGGTAAGTGGGACACACTGTATACATCTGTCATCAACATTAAGAATTAAGAATTACAAAGTTGGCCGATTTTCAACTTAACAACTAAGAATTAGGAAATTCTATTACGCTTACGCTGTTCAAGTGGAGTTTGGTGATATTCAATCGGAATATTATTTATGGATTCATGAATAATTGTGGAGACCAACGTCACTTTTAACATCAATTCCATTTTCAATCAAAAGACATTTCACATTTAATTCTTAATTGATATCAGACATGTGTAAATACCTTCAACATATTGATTGTTGATTATTAATTGTTAATTCCTAATTGTTAGTTCAATTGAATCTATAGAACCAGCAAAATAATAGTGATCGTTTTGCCCCATTCATCAAAAAATGGTAGGTAGGCCTTGAACATTTTAATATTTTCGAAGGGAGCTTGTTGAGTACTTACTACGAAGTATATTATCTAATTTTTGTTTTTGAAAATCGGTCAATAACAGATTCCTGCGAATTGAAATCGCACAGTGTATATTTAAATTGTCAGCTGACATCGACCTCGGAACTCTCATATACGTATTAATAATCAATACGGATAATCTCTATCTGTTTCCATAGCGAAACATGAAGCCGATTTTTGAAGACAAATGACTATATCCATAAGGAAAAGTTTTGAAACGATCAGACACATACTGCTTTGATTGAAAGGCTAGTAAACGTCATTGTCCACCGAAACGCATGTCTTTGATGACTACTACAATAGCGCATGGCGCATGCGTATCATGCCACCAAATCCTTATGTATATTCATTTGTTTCATATTTTTGGCTTCATCCTGGCACCCGTTATGATCTGTATTGTTTATTAATACGTATATGAGAACTCTGCACCGTATGATATTTTATTTATCAACTGTTCAACTTACCTACAGTGCTTCTTTTCTATTGTTAAGTTAGGTAGTGAGCTTGAAGACAACTTCGCTGGGTTAATCTTGAGAGTTTCGTTAAAGCACTGCTTGATATGTCAAAGGGTTCCGGAGATATATCGATTTATGATTAACACAGAGTACAGACAGACAGACAGACAGACCACACACA